TGGCTCTGCCGGACGTATGGACTCATGGCCAAGGACGTTCTTCGAGTTGGTGGTCTAGGCGTTGCCCATTTTATGTGGCGCCCTTACCTGCCTGCGAGGTGTTCACGTTGGATGCTTTTCGGCAGGACTGGTCGAGGTAGGGGTACCTGTTCCTCTTCTCCCAGTCCAGCTGTTGCTTCGGGTTCTGGCTCGGTTGCAGCCATTCCCACGAGAGCAATTCTTATGATTCCTTGGTGGCCGGCCCAGCTTCTTTTCAGACGCTGCTTGATAGGTGTCCGAACCCGGGGCGTTTTCCCGCCGCTCCGCCTCTTTCGGCAGGTCGGATCGGTCCTGTACGTGACTGGTTCGGCCTTCTCCTCGGCTCTTCACGTCTGGTATTTTGACGCGAGTATCACCATCTCTGTGGTGTTCGGGTGGCCTTGTTGACAGTGTCCCACCTGCGAGCTTCGTCTTGGCGACAGTATGACGTTCCTGGTGTTTTTCTTGCTCTTTGTACGTTGTTTTCTCTTTCACATTGGGTTGTCTTGTCCTTTCCTGGGTTTTTCTGGACTACAGTTATTTGATGTTTTCTTACTGTTGCCTCGTTTTATGCGGCGCTGGCGGAGCCGCTCCGGCTTGCGTTCGGGGTGGACGTCTCATCTGCCCCGTTTTGTATGCTTTCTCATGTTTTGTGTTACCTCCGGCCTGCTCATGAGTCGCCTGCGCCATCCTGGTCCTTAATCAGGGTGCCTTCTTTTTCTCCTCAGTTTGTGGTAGCCCCTTCAGTTCAGGTTTCTGCTCCTTGGTACTGGCGGTAGCTTTGTACATGTGCAGCCTTTCTCCGTCCTGGCGACGGTCGAGATGGCTGGTTTCCGGAGGGGTTCTTGGGTTATGGACGCTTGATTGGTTTGGCCGGAGGTGCGTCCTGTGTTGTCCGGTTGCGCTTTTTGCCGTTACCTGCGTACCGTGTCTGGGGATGCGCTTTGGTTTGATCCGGTTCCCCTCGTTCCCTGTTTCAGGGCTCGGGTCTCCCAGGTCGTATGCAGAGTTTTTCAGTCTTCCACCCTGCGGTCTGTCTTTGCGCCCGTGCTGTTCGGACGTTTGCAGCTTTTGCTGCTGTGTTGGTGACGTCTAGGGCTTTTTTATTTTATTTTTATTTATTTGTATTTTGGGCACAGGGAATCGAGGGTCACACAAGTTCTTGGCCGCCCATTCTTTATGCGCGTCTGCTCCTGTGCGTTCTTGTTGCCTTGGGTCGCAGGTTGCATCCTGTTGTCTCGGCTTCACGTTGCGGAGTTTGTGGTGGCCGCCTCCCGGGTTAGCCCTTTCTTGAATGTAATGAAACGTCATTTTCTGGATGAGCCCCAGAGGCTCCCTGGCAACCCTCTCTCCCACCGGTCGGCGGTTTTTTCGCGTTGGTTGAAGCTTAGCTTCTGAACTGAAGCTTGGCAGCTGGCGTGGTAGGTCCGGGATTCCCCCCTCCCCCTCTCGGGGCTGGGAGGGTTGAGCGGACGATCGGCGCGGCAGTAAAGTGTGATGTTTGCTTGTTTCCTTGGGATTGTAGGGAGTTTCTACCTCTCTGTTCGGTCTTTTGTTTTAGTTTTTACCATGTGGGGTTGGTTTTGTCATACCTACCTTTCTGGGTGCCTGACCCTGGTCGATGGCAGATAAGGAAAACCCCAGCCACAAGAGGGTTTTCCAGTGCCATTGCTCCCTGAAACCTCTCTGAAGGGGCCATGTTCTGGCGCTGGTCCCTGGTAGGTCTGAACTTCTTAGCTAATGTCCCGGTCTAATATAACATACATTAGCCCGATAAGCTCCAGGGAGCCTCCGGGGCTCACCCAGAAAATGGCGTTTCATTACATTCAACGGCTGTTTTTTGGCGGTCTTTCCTTTTCCTTCTGTCCCTTCTTAGGTAGCTGCGTTTGTTGGCGTGGTCTTGTCCTTCTCTTGTGGAAGTTCGGAGCCGTCATCTTTTCCCATACTGTCGCTTCATATCGTGCGGCCTTGGCGGAACCGCTTCAGCTTGCTCTCGGCATTGATGTTACATCTGTGCCATTTCACAAGCTGTCTTATGCATTGTTTCACCTCCGGCCTGCTCATGCGCCGCCTGAGCTGTCCTGGTCATTGGACAGAGAGCTCTCTTTTCTTTTCTTCTCCATGGTTTGTTGTGGCCCCTTTGGTTCAGGATTGTTTCTCAGAGGCTCTTTTTCTGTAGGCATTGGTCTCTAGGAGTCGGGTTGGGGGGGCTTCATGCTCTCCTTCGGTGCAAGGGTTTTCTGCTTCTTCGGTCGTGGCGATAGGTGTGTTCGTCTGCGGCCCTCTCCTTCTTTTCTACCAAAGAATGAGACTGCTGCTTTCCGGAGGGGTTCTTCGGTTGTTGATGCTTGGTTGGTTGGGCCGGGAGTGCATCATGTTTTGTGTCCAGTTGCGGCCCTCCTCTGTTATTTGCGTGCCTCGGCCTCTGTGTCCGGGGACGCGCTTTGGGTTGATCTGGTTTCCCTTCTTCCCTGTTCGCGGGTGCGGGTCTCCTACGTCGTCTGCAGGGTTGTTAAGACTAGTTAGCCTGCTGTCTATCCCCGTGCCCATGACGTTTCCAAGTTCACTGCTCTTGCTGCTGTTTTTGGCGACATGTCCTGAGCTGACATTTGGGAGCAAGGATTTTGGCGGTTGAACAGGGTCCTGGCTGCTCGATATCTCGTGAACGTTCCTGGGCCTAGTCGGGCCTGTTGCTTTGGGTCGGCGGTTGCAGCCAGTTGTCTCAACTTCGAGTTGAGGAGTGGGCAGCGACTGCCTCCCGGGTAGGTCCCTTTACTTTTCCTCTGTGGGTAGTTAGCTCCAGGGAGCCGAAGGGGCTCCCCCCAGAAAACCAGTGTTGAATGTAATGAAACGCCATTTTCTGGGTGAGACCCCGGAGGCTTCCCGGCATCCCTTCTTCACCCTAGTCTTTTTTTTTTTGCGTGTTTTGACATCCAGCCTCGGAACTGAAGGGTGGATAGCCGGGCAGGGGTCTGGGGCTCCTCCTTCCCTCCTCCTGGGGAGGGGGGAGCTGCGCAGACAGCGGGCGACATGTGACATCATGTTCGTTTGCTTGTTTCTTTTTGGAGAGTTCTCTCCACTTGCTCGACTTTTGGTAGCAACTTTCATCGGAATAGAGGTTTGTTTTGGGATGCTTACCTTTCTGGGAGCCTGACGCGGTCGATAGCAGACATAAAATGCTACCAACCGCCGGTCAAGGGGAGCCGGTCGGCCGAGCGGACAGCACGCTGGACTTGTGATCCTGTGGTCCTGGGTTCAATCCCAGGCACCGGCGAGAAACAATGGGCAGAGTTTCTTTCACCCTATGTCCCTGTTACCTAGCAGTAAAATAGGTACCTGGGTGTTAGTTAGCTGTCACGGGCTGCTTCCTGGGGGTGGAGGCCTGGTCATGGACTGGGCCGCGGGGACACTAAAAGCCCCGAAATCCTCTCAAGATAACCTCAAGATAACCACAGGGGGGGGGGGGGGGTTCTATGGTCCATTGCTCCCTATGCCTCTCTGAGGGTCCAGGTTCTGGCTCATGGGCCCCTTTAGGCCCACTGAACTCCATACACATGACTGACGTCAAAGTCTGACATTAGCATATAAGCCTGGATAAGCTTCGGGGAGCCTCAGGGTCTCGCCCAGAAAATGGCGTTTCATTACATTCAACACTGGTATTTTAATTCATCAGGGAGTGATGAATTGCCATGTGTTTGGCATGAACACATTCTTGCCAAACTACACATTACAGCATCACGTAGAAGCAGCACATTTTCCTCCGTGCTACTGCATGATTCAGAACCACCACCATCACAGTCTTGCTATTCATCCACTGCAGGACACTGCCGTTTCATATAACAAGGGTGAAGTACTTCCCATTAGTTTCAAATTGAAACTATTAAACAAAATGGAAACACTTGTTATCTGAAACCAAGTCCATCTGGTCATATTCCCTGCTATATTTGGTGTGGTGTTCATGCTGAAACTCTGCTTCCTCATATACTTACTCACCATGTCTGTTGATCTTCATATTTCCTTTCCTCAACTCTTAGCTTTCAAATCCACACAAATACACTCTGGTAATCATCTGTTGTCATTCCTTCCTTGGTCATCAGACCTTTCCTCCTAGAAAACTAATCCCGCTTCTGTCCTTTTTTGTCCTTCATTTACTACCCCTCACACTCCATGCGACGATTTAAGCCTGGCTTTGCTTCGTGGGTCAAATAAGGAAGATGTATATTCTAAATCTGAGGCCAATTTTGGTCTCGTATCTCGGACATGTGTGTGTTCGTTCTTATTGACCACATGTTCAAGCCAGCCTTGTAGGGGCCTCGTAGCCTGGTGGATAGCGCGCAGGACTCGTAATTCTGTGGCGCGGGTTCGATTCCCGCACGAGGCAGAAACAAATGGGCAAAGTTTCTTTCACCCTGAATGCCCCTGTTACCTAGCAGTAAATAGGTGCCTGGGTGTTAGTCAGCTGTCACAGGCTGCTTCCTGGAGGTGGAGGCCTGGTCGAGGACCGGGCCGCGGGGACACTAAAGCCCCGATATCATCTCAAGAAGATAACCTCAAGAAGCAGCAGCAGTTTGTATGACAAACATAAACTTTCAAATTAAACTTCTACATCTAAAATCTAATACTAGTGCACACATTTTTGGTTGATGTTGGCAAGCTTATGTCAATATAAATTAAACATAATAAATTGGTTTAAAATTACTGTAGTTTGTACATCTTGTTCCAAGTTTTTCCACACCTTGCCCGAAACGCTTTATGTAATAGTGGCTTTAGGCATTGTATATACTAGCTCTCTATAAATCCAACAATATGTTTGTATCTCACCTTGTATGTATGTACTTTACCTGAATAAACATATGATTTGATATGATCTGATTTGGTATGTATTTACAATACTTTGTTTACTTTTGATATGATTCTATGATAGTGGTAATTTTTCTCCTATAGTCCAAATTAGAGTGAAATAAAATCATTTAATACTTTAGATGTGCAGCAATGGACCCTAGGGTCGTGTGACCAGGAGGACATTGCTTGTTGTGTTGCTACCCGCATCATTGGCCATTACATACACAGGAACCAGGTACTGTACATATCAAAATTTCCAGCTTTTAGTAAATGTAATAGAATTTAAGTTTATCATTGAAAACCATGAATTATATTGATTTTCTGTGGAGAGCCTGACAGCTGGGTGGACAGTGCTTCGGATTTGTAGTCCTGAGGTCTTATGAAGGAATAATTGCAATCTGTGATAGAATGAGAAAGTTTTCCACCAGTCTGTGAACTCTGTCCCAACATCGTAAGCTTGTGAACCACTTGTGCGGTCCACTTGTGTGATCAAATTTGTCATATGAGGGAATTATTAATTGTAATCTGTGATAAAATGGGAAAGTTTTCCACCAGTCTGTGAACTCTGTCTGGACATCGTAAGCAAATCCGAACATCCCCTGCTTCGGCGAACCATTGTTCATCGAACCGGGTGAGTAAATCCGGCCTGAAAAGTGTGCAAACTAGCCAGAGATTCGTTGAATTGGATTACGTTGAATCGAGGTTGTACTGTACTTACAGGGCACCTAGGGAAGGTGACCCTAGGCACATGTAGCCCCAAGTACTTGTGAAATTACTCCTGGCTCGCACACCACCAGAGAAACAGCACCACACACCACAAGGCACAGAGCTGGAGGACAGGAAAACAGGAGCCAGAGTCACATGACCATTGCCAATCACATCAGCCTCAAAACTGAAGTGTAGATAGCTGGCATGAGGGTCTGGGGCTTCCCCTTCCTCCCTCCCAGGGAGGGGTAGCTGAGCAGACCAGCAGCACGGTGACGTATTGACGTCATGCTCGTTTGCTTATTTTGGTTTGGGAAGTTCTGTCCACTAGTTCAGCTTTCAGTAGCAATTTCAGGTTTGTTTTGGGGCGCATTGTGAGAGTGATTGTGTCTTTAAGATTGTGAGGGTGAGTGTCTTTATCTTATCCTCATAGCTGACCCCTCTCAACTCTGGTCTACGAATCTAGTTGCAAACTTATGTACTGTACTCTTTATAAATGTTTTTAGAACAAAACTTAATTATGTAACCTTCATCAATTATTTAATTATATAATATTACATATTAAATAGCATTGGTATTTTCTATAAGCAGCCTTAATTTGTAATTTTTTTCAGATGTTGATAGACTGTGGGTTCACAGGTCTTACCATGCAGGGGTACGGTAAAATGGCCACTGGCTATGGGGTCTTCCGTGGCCATCCCAACCTTAAGTAAGTTCACCATTTTAGATTCTGTTGTTCTTTAAACAACTCGTCTACTGACCCCTTCTTGGTGCAATATTGAAATTAATTAATGGCTGACTGTGATGACATGATATAAACTTGATCAATCCTATCACACTGGATGACCCCTCTCCCTGGTAGGAACTTTGGTACATAGTCCCTTCAACTGTCCCTATACCACTTTCTTCAAGTTATGTCACTAAAATGACCTAACATGCATTGTGTGCATGTGTTGCATACATTTAGGCCAGGCTGAGAGAGAATAATAGCTATAACTTACCATAGGTATACCACATGTAAGCAATTATAGGTATACCATAGGTATACCACATGTAAGCAATTAGTTGCTAGTGTTGAAAGTCACATACTGAGTATATTCACATAACATACTGTTCCTTCTGTTTTGACCAAGGCTGTGCAAAATGACACAGGAGATTGGCTTCGTGGAACCTTTGGAGGGCAAGCTGGACTTCAATCTTTATCCCATTGGCTCCCTACTCTACATTCTTCCATGGCAT